TAAAGAAATAAGCATATGAATACTATTGTAACCTAGAATACTGAGCGCCCCTCCTGCTGACTCCCGACAAAGCTATGGAGCTGTAGGCTCAGGAACATAGAGCATATTCAAGCAAAAAGAAATCTAATGCAGTATTGTGTTCGTGAAGGCCCAAGTACATACTCAATATACTGATTGAAGCAATTATCCAGTTTCCTTATTTTACCAATACAAAAACTCAGGAACTTCGATACAAAGAAATATGTGTTTAACAAAACAATTTTGATGTTTAAGAAAAACAAATATTCATAGTATTTTAACATGAAAATCCAAATGCATTCAGAACTCAGAAGAAACATTAATGTTTAAGACCTGTGTTCTGATTTGAAAAATGTCCTTTGACAATAGCAGCTTAAACAGAGGGATATTAATTATAGAGGAGTTTAATAAAATAGCCAATAAAATCAAGTATGGTACTTTTAGTGTCTGACATTTATTCACAGTAAATCAAACAGGAAATAAATCAACGTCCTTGGCTCTTACCAGAACTATGTTTGCTGCTGAACGAAGTAAAACCTGGGAAGAAATTTCCATCTATTTTCAAAACTAAAATCTCATTGTGGGGGTAGAGGAGGCTTGCATTTTATGTCAAGTATTTAAATAATGTATATTAATTAAATAATAAAGAAGATAAAATGTAAATCAATGAAATACTTCATAATTAAATAATTTAAATGATAGTCTTTAAAAATTAGATCTAAATGTTAATGTCTACTTATTTCTAAAGTGTGCACCTAAGTGTTATGCTTTATTTATCTATTTTTAAGTAAAGCTTACAATAAAGTCCCAATGAGACAGAAGAGACAAAAACAAAGATGGGAGCTTCTCAAACATCAAGTAATTCCAGAGCCGTCACCAAAGACAGATGTTGAGGAAGGAATCGATCTCATACTCTGTGAGAAGTCTCCTCTGCATGTCTTGAGAGGTGGTAAAATCACCTGTAATACCAGCCATGCCACAGAATGGGGTTGGGGAGGGGGGTGGAGGTGGGAGGGAAGCGGCATTAGGAAATGACACTGTTGATGTTCGGAGATATCAAGTCAGTTCCAAGTCACAGCAAACCATGTGACACAGGGGAATGTCAAAAGAGTCTTCTAGGCTGTAATCTTTAGGAGAATAGAATACTAGGCCTTTCTTCCCAATGACCACAGGGTGAGCTTGACCCATCAACCTTTTGATTAGTAACCGAACATTTAATTATTATACTGCTAAGTCTCCTGGGAATGATACTACTTATATGTAACTATGAAGTAATAAATGTATCTAATAACTAGTATGGCACGTTTTCACACATGGTACGTTTTATGCTTTAGTGGGGAAGGGAGCTCTGATAGTTTATTGGGTAAGGACTTGTGCTATCAACCCAAAGGCAGCCAGTTCTAATACACCAATGTTCCATGGGAGAAGTATGGGTAATCCCCTCCCATGTAATTTGCAGCCTATGAATACTCACTTGAAGACCAACTATCAGTAGGCTCCTCCAATTTGACAACACAAAGAAAATGTGTCCTTGTATCACAATGGCTAAACTCTTGGCTGCTTACTAAGAAGGTGCTACATCTGTCCAATGGCTCTGCCGGAGAAAGAGCTGAATGTCAGCTCACGTTAACAATTGTTATTGTTGTTTTGTGCCATCAAGTGAATTCTGAATCACAGCAACCCTTAGGGCAAAGGAGAACTTCCCCACAAATATTACCACACAGGACACACCTTGGAGCTGTTCTACACCGTTACACTGGGTCACTACAGTGGCAATTGACTCTACAGTGTCTACAAGGACAGCAAATCTAAGAAAGACGCCCTAACCTCCAAGTGACGTGTAGAACTCTACCCATTTTCCATGATCGGTGTCAATGGGTGTGGTTTCATGCTTTCCCGACTAAGCCGGAAATGTTTGATGACAGAGTATGCTGTGTTTCATTTAGATTTGCAAATTATATAGGCAGCCATACTACTGCTAAGAAGGAACTCGGTGTTTTTAGTTGTTACGTGCCATAAATTCAACTACGACTCTTAGTGACCTTAGGAAGAGCAGACAGGAAACTTCCTTTATCTTCCACAATCCTCATGGTCTCAGCTGTGCTCAGTCTCCTCGCTGCAGTCGCTGTGTCAGTCCAAGCAGTCCAGTGTGGTCTCTCTGTCTGGCTTACAGGTTACACAATAGATGAACCCACCTGTCTACCAGGAACTTTGAAGGCAATATGAGGACAACAATGGAGATCATTGCCCTTTACCTAATTCTACACATTCCTTTGTTTCGCCTGCCATCCTATTTGCCTGTTGAAGTAAATTCTCAACACTGGCTTTTCTGATGACCCATAGTACGCCTGTGGCTAATGGCTCATGGGCTGACAGCTGGCTGAAGACGGTACCTGTGTGCCAAGGTTTTAAACAAGCTTCCTCCTTGGAAATTAAAGCTATCCATAGCAATTCGTCTAGCAAGGACTATCTAACTCTCAATTTCCCATTATCTTTCTTTAGCTTATCGTCAACATTTTCTCCTGTCAAACGTTTCACTTTCTTCAAGAAAAAAAAAAAAAAAAGAAAAGAAAACCACCCCAACACTCCTTAGATTTGGTTATGTGGAAAATAATGTAATTTCTTACAAAGATAAGACTCAGACTGACATCATGTAGGAAGACTAAATGGAATTTGATTTACAGTTCTCTGCACCCTTGGGGAGTGAAAACTTCTAGTTCTGTCATTTAAAAAAAGCACAATTTATTTTTTTTTCCATTTCATTTCAAGCAACTCATTCTTCACAGAAGGAATTATCAAAACAGCAGAAAGTACGAACAAGAGAAGAAATTGTGTGCTAACGACTGCAGACAAAGTAGTCTCGATGAGAACACACTACGTCGCATCTCAAACAACACAACAAAATTCACCTCTTTAGAGTCTAAAATTAAAGTTACACGTTAGCTACATACAGCGTCCTGAAATAAAAGAGAATCCAGCTGGTCACCAGTGAGTGAAGTTTTCCCATCACAGCTTATGTGAAAACCTGCCTAGTATCTGACAACAGAGTAAAAATCACAAGCAAATCACCACTTGCAGCAAATATTTAACCCTTGCAATCAGTACAGCTATTTAAGGACATATCAGATAACACAGGAGCAGATAATTTGTGAACAACTTGTCAGAAACCTGTCAACATCTTTCTAGCCATCAAAGATGTGATATATGAGGGAAGGGGTGGGCATGTGAATCTCAGTTTCTTAGAACTATCATTAAGTCAGTCACCAACACACAGTCTACAGTCACAAGATTTGTACTGTAAGTCAAAGCTGTTCATTTTCTTTCCCCCCAATACTTGCTTAACATGTTGCCACACACTTTTAAATTGACGACCGACCGTCCTTAAAAACACATCCCCCCACCCCCCAACCATGTATTACTGTCATTTGCGACAATAAGTTAATCAGGATGATTTCTTTCTCTGTAAGACTTTCCAAGTAGTTTCTAAGACTCTTAACGCTAAACTAGTATTAAAACAAAACAAAACACACACACACAAAAAAAAAAAAACCAACCCAAAATTGCAATATATAGTAAGTTTGAGCAGGGTAGTGGTTTAGTGTTTGAATGCCCACCCCACAGTTAGTTTGAACACACCAGCAAGAGGAAGGAATCTATTTCCATAAAGCCTTATATAGAGTTCTAGAAATACTGTGGGCGTTCCAATCCTGTCTACAGGGCCTCAACAGATCAGAACTGACTCAGGGGCAGTGGGGGTGGTTTTGGGTTTGCTCACAGTTTAATTTAGTCCTCTGTTTATATGAATCCCAACTGTCACTGTTAAAAGACATTTAAAATATCAATCCTTTACAGTGAGCTGAGAATGAACGAGCGTTCATAATTTTTTGCCATTATAGAAAACAAGATCAATGGTATAAAATAGTTATTTAGGATCATAAGTACTTATCAAAAAGTCGTAATCACAAAATTGGATAAAGAATTCCTGTCCATGATCAAAGTAAGACTTTTTAAAATGTAGATAATTTTTCTTATCTCCTTAGTGATGAACCAATGGCATGCCGCCCACCTTCCTCCACACACAGAGCCAGAAACTCAGATTAGATGAGATAAAAAAGTTAATGAGGTTATTGGTTATTTTATAACTACAAATATAAAGCACCCATTTATGGCCACATTCACTGCAAACTATTTTAGCTTAAAAACAAAACATAACAAACTCAACACACAAAATCTACCCACACAGTCTTGCAACTCAGTCAATCTTTTTCTCCTTAAATTAAAAAAGGGGAAAAAAAGGTTTAATTTCTTTTTTATGTAGCAAATAACCATCATAATCGTGCTGTTTAAACCGATTTTCATGAAAAATCAATCTGTGGAAAGATATACTGAAGCTCCAACCTCTCGTATTGCATGAAGGGAGGGATCTGCTTCTGTTGGTGGAATCAATACAGACATAGAAAAACATAACAGTAAGTCACCAAGACTTCCCTATACAGTCAACCAGGGCTGCTGGGCTACCCGGTGCTTGTCAAGTTGATTCTAACTCAAGGAAACTCTCATGTTACAGAGCAGAACTTGTCCCATCAGGCATCCTTGTCTGTAATCTTGACTGAAACGAGCCAAGGAGCTACAGGATAGACTAGAACTGCCAACATCTAAGTTAGAAGATAACACTTAACCTTTTGCGCCAGTCAGGAACTTTACTATTTATTATTGTGACCAATTCTGGTAGAAAAGCTGATAACTGTAACAAAACATTCCCCAAAGTGACACATTTATATAGACTTGGCAATAACATACTCTGTTTTGCCACAGTATATCTATTGAGTGAAGAGAAATAAAAACAGAATGTGTGTTACCCATGCCTTCTATTTTTATGTTTAATTTAAAATTAAACATACATACATATGTATATATATATATTACTTCCAAGCCACCCTACAAAGCATGGGTCTACAAGGAGTGCAGAGTATGATTTTTACCTGTCTTTGGTTCCACTGAGAAGTATGGCTGTCCTTGTAGGATGCTGTAGACCACTCGGGCACTGTTGCCATACGTGGGGTCATCAGCATCTGTTGCGGTGACTTGTACCACTGAGGTCCCTGTGCACCAAACCAAAAGCCAACACATTAACCACTTCCAAACATTGCATGTTTGAAGAACTTACAAAATGTCACAGAATCTATATTAGATATATATATGTTTTTTGGTGTTTTTTTTTTTTTTTCATTTTCACTAGATCAAAGCATGTTCAAAGCCAACACTGCTACCAAGTTGATTCTGAGTCTTAGTGACACTCAAACCTTTGTAGTGTCTTACTGCTGGAGTTAAATAGGGCCACAGAGAAATGAAAATGTCATTAATTATGGAAAAGATATTTGTGTGATCCTTTTAACTAGGCATGTAGTGGCTACTCCATCTCACCTATATCTGCTTTATTTTTATTCAATGATTTGCAACCAAAACCACGAAACAAAACTGAAACCAAACTTGCCCCAAGTAGAACAGACATGGTGGCACCTTGTCTGGTCAGGGGTTTCCTCACCTGAACAGAAATGAGTATTATATCCTTTGTTCATTTTAATACTCATCTACTTACAAAGTTTGGAAAGTAGTAACTCTGATTTATTTCTACATTTATTTGGAATATGTTATTAAAAATATTAGAAAGACTGATGATCACTTTTGTTAACTTATTTATGTATTTACTATCACACCCTGTAAGGAGCTCTGATGATGGAGAATGTTACTTGTTTTTCTATTAACTGAAAGGTTAGCAGTTCAAACTCACCAGCGGTCAAGAGTGGGAGAAAGATGGGCAGTTTCTTGCTGTAAAGATTTACAGCCTCACAAACCTGACAGAAGGTTGTTATCACCTGGAAATGACTCAACTACAGTGGATGGACTCGGTTCATGTTATCATTTATACCTCACATGACAAAGATGAGATTTGGCCATAAGCCTCTTTCTTTAGCTATTCATTAAAATCCCAGTTATTGCTTTAAATAATATCCTTAAATACGGCATTTCAAACTTGGTACCATTTTGGGATACACTCCTAAATTTAGATTTGAGTTTGCCAATGTCTTATATAAGTCATAAATGGGCGTGTTAAAAATCCACTCTCCTTACCCTGACTTCACTTATCAACACTAACTTCCTTAAAATTGGTTATAACTTATGCTGTTATACACATTACACCATTTTTAAAGTTCTACATCTTTTTATTTGATGACCTTAGAGAACTGTTCTCTATGGATACTTGTCAAACAAAATCCAAGTGATTTAAAGATTATTTCAAAAATATTTTTATTGTTTTTAAATGGTAGGATACATGACTTGGATCTCTCCTCTATAAGGTATCATCAATACAGCAGTATTTACTCTGGCAATATGTTCAGTAATGATGAATTATGTTTTAAAATCTATTTTTAAAATGGGAGAAGGATGGGAAATCTCTTCTTATGCAATTCTCTGCTCTCAACACCTGGCAGAGGGTCAGCTATGGGTTGGTTCCAACTCTACGGTACACACCAACACCACTAACAACAATAACAACAACACAATTTTAAAAGCAAAGTAATCAAGACTAAAATTCAGTGAATTTGGATCTGTACACAAATTAAATAGAATAATTATTTTAACTACTCATTAATTTTTTATATATTCTTAACTAAGTTTAAAGTTTCTGTGCTGACCAATGGTAACTTGATGATGAATAAACTATTCTAACACACAGCTGTTGCAAAAATTCTCTTTAGTCAACATTTAACAAGTAGTCTTAAAAATTAAAATAGGGAGTTCACATTGGATATAATGTACTAGTCAGCGGTACTATAATTATTTGGTTAGAATTGAACACTCTGATGAACTCTGACAGTGAATAAATCCGTATTGCATATTTCATGCATCATTCATTGTCCTAAATTCTAATTTGGGTATTAATCTATTAGTCTGCATTACTTATCACATAAATTCTCAAAATAAAATCCTCTGAACAAGTTTGAAAAATTAAAGAACTAAAATAATTCACATGGTTTTTAAGATCAGAGTCTCAAACTTAATGTCACTGAGTTGGCTGACTCAGCTGACTGTATTTGTGAGGTTGAAACTGCATAGGAAGAGATTACCCACCTTTCTCCCAAGAGTCTCCAATGGATTTGAACTATCAAGATAACCAGCTTTTAAGTTAGTTGAACTTTCTACAGAATGCGTCACAAGAATTTCTCCCGTCATCAGTCCTGGTCATCAAATAAAAACTACAGGATGTTAGTTTCTAAAACATACAGGTCACAGTAATTCATCTCACAGGACTACAGCCTGCTACTCACAAATCAAAGGAAAACTTCAGCAAGACCAGGAAGGATCTCTCAAATTTCCATAAGATGAACTAGGTCAGTATTCTCATAGAATTGTTCCAATGCAGTTCATCAATTCCTAGATTTTCCTAGACATTCCAATTTAAATTTGGCAGTGATCTCTGCCTTCTTGTCCTAAGTTTCAGAGTCTTGAGTTGCTGTTCCTGTCAAGTTAAGTGGCAAGGGCAGGCCACACTCTGAAAGTCTATCTGATGTAGAGGTGTGACCACACCTCCTTGGTTAAAGCAAATGCATCCCCCTTACTTGCTCACCCCACTCTTCTAGCTCTTTCTGGGCTCTTTTCAAGATTGAGATCTCAGGGGATCCCAGGAAAAAATGTCCCCTCTTCCATTTAACACCAACTGAAATTGCGTCTCACTAAACCATGACCATGTGTAGGACACACAAGGAGCCTTGGTGACTCAGCAGTTAAGCACTAGAGGCTCTTCAACAGCAAGATAAGGCAGCTTGCTTTCATAACAGATACAGCCTTGGACACCATAAGGGCATTGTAGTTACAGAGATGTGATCAACTTACTCGATGTCAATGTGCTTGATTTTATCTCCTGGTTTTAAATGACACAGATAATCTACATCTTTCCAACACCACTACTCAGAACAGTTTTGAGTGCTGCCATGCTGGAACAGACTTGTATTGACCCTCTAGCAGGTTGTTAGAGGCTTAGCAGATGTGCCAAATTAATGAAGAGATGAATAAAATAATCATTATTAAAGCAAAAGGGTTAAACTGGGTGGCTCCTTGGAGGCAAGGATTCTGAGGCTCCGTCTAAGATATTTTGGACATGTTGTAAGGAGGGAGGGGACCGGTCCTTGGAGAGGGACATCATGCTTGGGAGGGTGGAGGGACAGTGCAGGAGGGGAAGACCCTCTATGAGGTGGATTGTTTCAGTGACTGGGATAATCAGGATGGGAGTGTCAGAGACAGTGCAATTGGCACAGGACAGAGCAGAGTTTAGGGTCGCTATGAGTTGCAAGCAACTCGACGGCACATAACAACAACAACAACAAGGCAAAATAAATCACCTTGGCAAAATAGCTGTACTGTTAACATATAAGCTAAATTATTATTTTAATAAAGGTCTTCCTACACTAAAAATAGCAAGAAATAAATATATAATTGAAATGATCATTTTAGTCTACCATTTAAAAAAAATCTTTATAAAATTCTCCATATTTATATTACCCACTGAATGAAGACTAGTCCAAAGCTAGCCAAATAAATGAATTTTAAAACAGAATCCATGTTATTTGACATAAATAAATACATAATAGACTAACCTGATGTGGTTTTCTTTTTCCACTTTGGAGCAACGTGAAAGACCACTGTACAATATAGACATTGTATTTTATAGACCACAAACGGGTTGTCAACTTTTGGGGGGGGGTTTTGGAAAGATTTAACATTGTAGTTTTTATTTTTTTAATAATTTTAATGAACCTTTATAGAGATTTTGGATTTCCATTCATTCACTGCTGCACTTCTCTTCCTGCCCAGCCCTCCCCCCCAGCACACCTCACCCCACCCCACCCCTCAGTTTGCTCCTCTCTTTGAAAAGTAAAAGAAACACTCCCTCCCTGGTACACAATTCCCCCACACCCCTCCCATTGCCCCAAGTACATTCCACTATGCAACCTTAATTGTGGACTCTTGTGATAACCATAATACCCTATCATACATCATTTTTAAATTATTCTCTCCCTCATCTGTTTCAGTGCAGTATTCACAATTGTGTCAACTTTTATTGTTAAAAACAAACTATAAATTTTGATGTATTTTTAAGTTTCTAGGATAAAATATTTAACATTTTCAATGGAGGTGTGTGGACAAATATTTGGTGGTTTGAACTCTTGCTATGAGCACACAGACAACACTGTTAGCCTGGCTGTCTTCAGGACACCTTGCTCACAGAATGTCAGAACCTGACTTCTAACCTGCTCAGAATGGCTCAACAATGGCAGATTAAACAAGCCTGGCACGCATGGTGCACTGCTATCAAATCTCTCGTGTCCAATTTTGACATGGTAGAAAGCAGCTAACAACGGCCTCCTCAAAGATGCCAGTTCATGTCCTCACTGTGAATGTGTCACCAGCCACCATCTTTGAGTGGGGCACTGCCCATTCCCTACACAGGTCATGCAAGGGATGATGTCTTTGTCTCCAGAGGTTGTGACTGAACCATTGTGAACAGGTGCAAAGCCCTGAGTAGAACAGTATTCCATTACCTCAATGTCAGTGGAATAATTTTTCAAAGTTTATCCCAGAGGTCACAGGGCTGCATCTGCAAGGATTTTAGGTTTTTAATTTCTTAGGAATAACTGCAGTCTTTTATTATTATTATTATTATTATTATTATTCTTTATTTTCAACAGTTAAAAGGAAACTAAAAACCTATGTTCTTAAAGACATTCCAATGTGGCTTTCATAGGAAAGTGCCTAAACCTCCAGATAAATAAGACAATGTACTCAACTAATGGGATTTGGATATCAAAAAGCTCACCCTACTGATGTGCGGTAAGACGATGTGTGTATGGTAGTGTGGCTCATAGAGTGTTGTGCTGTCAGCTCAAAGGTTTGAATCTACCAGCAGCTCGAAGGAAGAAAGACGGGCCATCTCCTCCTGCTCTCTTTACAGATGTGGACGCCCAGTGGTGGATCAGCTAGTGTTGTTTAGAGTTGGTGGCAATGAGAATGAAATGAACAAAATGGGAACATGTGGCTTCACTCAGTATTGACAATGTCTTAAGGGCAAACTACTCATACGCCAACGCTCCCTGGACATACTCACCCACAGGAGACATCTCGGGGACCCCAGCCGTGTACGGCCCATCCAGAAACTTGGGCTCGTTGTCGTTGATGTCCTGGATCTTGATGACAAACTCTGACTCGGGCTCCACGGGCTTGTTGGTGAGCCGGTCCAGGGCCTGGGCGCGCAGCGTGTAGTAGGCCTGCTCCTCGCGGTCCAGCCTCTTGGTGGCGTGGATGTCCCCAGTGTTCTCATCGATAATGAAAATGGAACTGGCCCCTTCTCCTGACAGGATGTATTTGATGGACCCATCGCCTTTATCAACATCAGAGTGCAGCTGGTGAAAAATTCACGTGAGATGAGATTAACTTACAAGTGAGTCACCGATGGGGAGATATGTAAAAATAATTGTTATGTCAGGCAGCAGGACACGCAATTTTATTGTTCTTTGAAAGATAAGCTGGGAGCTTATCGTGCAGAGAAGAAAAGCTATTAGAATGTGTCAGCTTGCACTTGCGAGCGAGACAATTTCATTTCTTCCTGTAAACAGACTCATTTCCAAAAGTTATTTTTTTTTTATCATCCCCAAAGTTAGCAACTTGCTGGAGTGTTATTTCTGATGCCGTCTGTCTTGGCAAATCTTAGCCATCTTCCTTGAACACGGCAGGCGTTCAGTAAACATGTCTAATTGGTTCATTGGATCTTATGCCAAGCAGAGGGACCCGCTAGAGAACGTTAGTAAATTTAGATCTAATGTTTCATTTAGTGTTCTTAGAATTCCCTGCATTCTGTGAGGGGGGCTCTCTCCCACCGCATCTCACTCCTGTGCCATTAAAAGGAGGGGTAGCCGGTCACTAAATAAGTCTCTGAATGCTGTTCTGTGTTTTAAAATTCACAGCTTAAAATAAAAAAAAGAAAATGGACTGTGCTCTCTGGGGAAGGAATTTTAAATCAATATGTGCCTGAGACTTCAGCGCACACACCTTTGCTGAAATACCAAGAAGCGCATTAGATTTGCATGATTAAGCCAGGCATCTGCACAGGGCAGCACCTCCTCATTTGCATTTTTCTTTCTGGACCTGTCCCCACTGCATGTCACAACACTGTGCTGAACAGAGGGACCTGAGGAAACTCAGAAATAATCACACATTTTCCTGAACTTCGTGACCTGAGCAATGCGTTCACTCCATCTGTCATTCCAACCTTATCCCCCCCAAACTGTACCAAGCTAGAACTCAATTCAGATGGAGACTAGCACCCCATTTACCAGAAAAGGGGATTTCCATTGCCTGTAGAATTAGGATTGCCTCTTTTGAAAGAAAACACACTGAAAATAGAAAATATGGAAAACTACGAAATACGGACCCCTGGTAGCTTTTGGGCAGGAGTTGTGCCTCCAATCCAGAGTCAGGTGGTTCTAATGCACCAGCTGCTGGGTGGGACTAAGATGAGTAATCTCCCATGTGATTTACAGTCTGAAAATCCACTGCACAGTCAACTCTGAGTCGGTCCCAAGTTGACAACAATAAGTTTTGACTTAGGAAATGAATGTTGTCGTGTGCCGTTGACTCAGATGACCATGGGTTTTTAGAGGCAGTAAATCACATGAAAAAATTTCCCATCCTTCTCCCATATGGCAGCTGGTGGATTCGAACTGTGTGCCTTTGGGATATGGCACAGCTTCTGACCAGCAGTCCATGAGATTGTGCCCACTATTGTTCTCCACTCTTAGGGAGGGGTTGAAGATGTGGCTTTTCGCACCATTAATTTCTAGAATAGATTCCTCAACTGCACTGGAATAACTGAATTCCTGTTCTGCTTCAAAGTATTCACGTGCTTTACTCTTCTATCTCTGAGGTTTTCAGTTAGACATAAATGATAAAAAGTTTGCCTTTGTGGTACTGGGTCTGTATGAAAAGAGCTCAATACGGAGTGAGCTCGAAGGTGTAGCTTCTCATTTATCCAGCACCTGGAGAAGGAGGCATGCTCCTGAGATACTGTGAGTTCTCTAATTTCCTTTCATTTGAGTCATTATTACATAGATGCGATTGTTGTTTGGAGCTGCGCAGTCCATTTTCCACCACAGGGACCCCAGTGATAAAGCAGGACTGTCAGACTAAAGCAGTTTTTCCAGTGACAATCATTCAGGGAGCAGACAGTCAGGTGTTCCTTCTAGTGAGAAGCGGGGAACATTAACACTTTAGGTTTTGGTTAAGAAGCCCAGTAGTGCTAAGAGGTGAAGTGATGGGCTCTTAGCAGAAAGGTCAGTAAATCGGAAGGCTGCTCTGTGTGAGACAGATGAAATACTCTGCCCCTGGTGTGACTGACGTCCTCGGAGACCCAACGGCAGGCCACTGGGGTCAGAACAGACATACCAACAACGAATTTTAACAATCAAGTGCTTAACTATCGTGCCACCAGAGCACTTTACCAAATACCCCTCCCTCCAGTTGCAGAAGGAAGAAAGCTGATGATGTTGAGAGGTTGAGTTACTGGGATCATGTGGGTGTCAGGTACTGTCTCTAGCGTCCTCTGCAGTCTAACTTCAATATTCACCGCTGCCTCGTTAGCTCCACTGACAGAGGGGGCAAGAAAAGCCTCAGGGCACATGACCAGCCGTCAGGGCAGTGTCAGGACCCCAGGAGGGCTGCAGACATGGAGGCCAGTCTCTGCTCTGCCCCTGAGCCTGTAGCTGGGTGTGTGTGTGTGTGATGTGCTGGTGTGTGTGTGTGTGAGAGAGAGATGTGCTGACAGGCATGTCATCAAGCTTTGTCACCCTTAGCATCACCTGTCCCCATGGCAGTTCAGGGCAGGGACACCATTCTCCATGTCTGGGTGGTTGCAGGACCTTGTGGATATGCCAAAACCCAGAGAACTGGGCAGTACAAAGACGGAACCCTGATGCCATCTGGCGACTTGGCTTTCCTTAATGGTAACATGACAATAACGTCTTGGAAATGGTCTCAAATGTCCCCCACAAGTGCATAGTGTCAGGATGTGTGCAGGGGACGGGCTATATGGACTGTCCATGCTCTCAGCTCCGTCCTCTTTTATACCCAAGAGCGTTCTCCAAATAAACCTGTGAATTTGCCCCTATAAATAATTACACTCAAATTTCAATGTGCACAGTGTTCAATGTTACTGGAGCACACACACACGCATGCAGGACTGTGCACGAAGCTAGTGCAAAATGACATTTGGGGAAAGTAGGTATATGAAACTGATCCCTAACTGCACCCCCAAACCTACAAGACACTCAGTGTTCGGTGGTGATTTTCACTAAGCGATTTAGTAACTTCCTTTCAAGGCCTAACAACAAACTGTCCACTTCACTCAACACAGCTCAGGCAAGAGTGAGGTCTGAGACAAACACAGAGGATGGCTGAAATTCATCTAGATCTGAACCGCCATGTATTCAAGAACTCCGTCCTCCTCCACTTCACATGCCCCCGTCCCGTCCTCATGAGTGTTTTCATGGGGTCACCTGGTGCTAACTTGTCTCCACACCTCTGTTAGCAGAGCTGTGCCCAGAAAGACATGCAGGTAACATTGGTACCCGGTCAACCAAAATCGAAATGGACGCCTCACTTGAGAATCAGGTCTTATGATTCATTTCAATAATTCCTGTCACCTGGGGGCTCACTGCTGTTTGTTAGTGCTCTCCAGTCAGGTGCAACTTATAATAACGCTACAAACAACAGATCCGAACCCAGTCCTTTCCTGTGCCGTCCTCATAATCTCTGACCTCCTCGAGCCCACTGCTGCAGTCACGGTGTCAATCCACCCGGCCTGGGCTTCCCTCTCCGTAGCCCTCCACCCACCTTTCCAAGCATGAGGTCCTTCTAGGATTGGTCTTTCCTAGCAACATGTCCAAAGTATGTGAGGCAAAGCTTCACCGTGCTTGCCTCTAACGGGCACTGTGGCTGCACCTCCTCCAGGATCCGTCTGTCTATTCTTCTGACAACCCATGGCACGTTCAGTACCCTTCTCCAACACCACAGGTTAAAGGCATCCATTTTTTCTTCATCTTTGTTCACTGTCTGCCTCTCAGCAGTCTAGCAAGTGATTGACAAGACCATGTTCGGAATCAAGCATACCTCGACTCTCCTCATCATTGCTACTCAGTAACTGGGCGAGGTCCCTGACAACATGATTGATGCAGGCAGAAGCCACCCAACTGGTGGCTCAAGCAGTAAGAAATTACGCTGGTGACACAAAAGTATATGGTTCGGGGGGAGGGCTGGGCAGGGAGAAAAGTGCAACAATGAATGAATGGAAATCCAAAGTCTCTGTAAATTTTCATTAAAATTAATAAAAAAATGATTAAAAAATAAAAAATGTAAACATTTTTTAAAAAAGTATGTGGTTCAAATCCATCAGCTGCTTTGCAGGAGAAAGATGGACGATTTATTGCCTCTGAAAAATCTGCTGGAAGGTCAGCTGTAGTTTGGTTCCAACTCTACAGTTACACAGCACCAAAAATTCCCGTCAACAGACTCTTATCTTTGTTATGTAAGGACACAGTGTCAATATGATAATATTAATTAACTGTGATAATCCAGGTACTTGAAAAAAGGATCAACTACTATTGAGCATATCAATTCCCAAAGACCAAAGCTGGCACCGTCTTTCAGGTGAATTTCAAGTCAGTATGTGAAACATATCAACAGCCTCTGGTGCTGTGTGTTCTACGACGATGATGCTGGAGGTCCTAGCGCTGAGTGTAAGGGTGAAGAGATCACACTGCTGGTGTCACAGACACTCGACGCTCATTCATCCTCAGACACATGAAACTTACCCTCCTCCTCAGCCCAGTAACATCCTCCCAGCTGGGACCATCACTAAGCTTGTAATCACTGCCAAAATTCCCAAGCAGAAAATTGCTTTGAGTCTAAGCTCGGTATCCTTGCAAGGTTACTGCAGGCACCTGTGGTTGAAAGTGAATGACCAGCTTTGAAATGTCAGGATGGATACATGCTATCAGAGGCCTCCAGACAGTTAATCGGTGAGGCCAGGGGTACTATGCTAATCTAAACTGGTGGAGTGAAACCCACGCTGTTCATCAACAGCTGCTCCTCCTCACCTCACCCAGCAAAGCAGGAAACGTTGCAGGTGTAGAACTATCAGGTGCCACTGCTGATACACATATGCAAACACAGTGAGTGTGCACGTGGACACACACACACATGCTTTGTGACTTAACATAATGGAAACATGCTCCTCTACAAAGAGGAAAAATAGGAAGAGGGAAAATAAATAAAACAATGCTCCAGTCACTCAATAGAATAAACAAACAAGAAATGAAAATACAGTAACTAAAATCAACAGTGTGTACTC